AAAAGTCAACATTGACAGTTGTGTGCAACGTTTCTTCGAAGCTGCCATGGCTGACGTGTCAATCTAAATAAGTAATCCTAACATTTACTTTATTAATTTGCATTTCTAACCCACTTTCGGGCAAGTTTGTTGCTTTAGTTGTGTTTAGTTTAGTTTTTTTTATACTAGTGTATCTTCCTTTTTTATTCTGAATGTTTCTGACATGGAATGACATCCATGCTTTATTGTACTTAGATCTATGTTCATTTTTAGGATACGAATTCAATAAAGACTATTACGTTTGACCCGCTGTGTATCAAAGTGTCAATGCGCTCAGTAATAAATATAAACAACGTACACGCAACTGGCTTACCATGTTTTATTTCAAATCGTGTACAAACCAAATACGTTGTTGCTCGAATTTTTTCTATTTTAAGTTTAAAAAAAAGTCCCAAACTCAGGGGGGCAACTGCCCCCCTTGCCCCTCCGCTAGCTACGGCCTTGCCTTTCTAGATCAGACTGTACATGCATCAAGTTATCATCGTTACTGTATGGCATTACTGTATGTACATTTTGATTTTTTGATATTGTACTGACTATTCAACTGTGTATATTAATACATTTATTTCGTAATTTATCACTGTACTGTTAGATTCATTCAGTTGCTCTTAGTCAGCATATTAGAGGTTATGTAAGGTTTTATTTTTGTATATGTACTGTGAGTAGGGTTAGGGCTTTTCATAGCTCTATTTGACTATACCTATATTGTTTGTATTTTCTTTATGTTAGTTAATCATTCTTCATATGTATTGATGCAACAGACTCAAGTTGAGTGGGCAAATAGTTACTTTTGGACTAACAAAATACCAGGAGTTGGAAGTTCATCTGTAGCCAATTACGGCCTCAACGGTTGATCTTGATTAAAAGACATAAGACATACCAATGTAGGTTGCACAATATATTTAATGTTGAATGGGAAAGAAATAACAATATGTAGTTTTAGATTTTTACAATTTTCATCTGTCTAAATCAGCTGCTGTGTACCCAGCATTGCTCATACTTAGAGCATGCGTAGTAGGGATATGTGCTATTGTGGAGCAGTTTCGGAACCGGGCATACTGGACCAGTACTGGTACCCCCAGATCAGAACCATAAATTATACATCAGCGAGAGTACCATGAATTTGTAAGAATTTCAGAACCAGATTTTGTAGACCAGTTTCAGTGCCAGTCCATCTTCGTATATTACATTGACATTCAACATTATGTAAAGTTAATTACACACATAGCTGTAGCTATAAAACTGGCACTATGTATTTGTCTACCTTTATACAATGTACACATGATCACATTTGCGTGGACACATGTGAAATGACCCTGACAAGCAAGTTGAATAGTGGTGTCTGTTGAAGAGCATGCTGATTTACATATATGCTAATTATAAGTCATCTAGCACACCCACTTTCTTATGAAAAACATTTGCAAAATGAAATTACTGCCACATTACACACATGTAAGCATTTTCACATTTTAATAAACTGTACATAATCTCAAACCAATATGGCAAGATATATTTCTTTTGGGAGAAGATAATTAACAGATACAATCAATGAAATGTACGTTACACAGTGAATATAACAAAAGTATATTGAAAATATGATGCACATTTCATGGTCTAGAAAGACTTCACTGACACCCACCTAAATCATTTATGTAAAATTACATACAGACCTGAGTGAAAAGAGCAATGAAGTAACATGCAGGATGTGATGTCATATGGATTGTACCATTTCTTACATAGGGGAGTCAGTGGTTGAAAGGAAAGGGAACCTGGTTAAAATTTACCATTTACAGTTGCAGTTGAACCAGAATAAAATTTCTTAAAGTGTGGAAGACAATTTCTAAAGCAGAAGTATATACACCTACATTTAATGGATTCTTGTATCACTGAGTGCTCTGTTTAAGACATGCGTGATAAATCCCTGCCTGGCTGGGTGACAAGTACGTAACAAAACTGCATGATTTTTACAAAAGAAACATATAATAAATACCCTGTTTACCTTAAGTTTTTTTTTTAATTATTTCAAAACATTTTTTTTTTTGTATCATAAGAATAAAATTATTTGATTTCAGGCAATAATGCAAAAACTGTGTCATGAAGCTTATATTAGAAGCAAGCAGATTTGTTACATTTTTAACTATAAGCCTCCAAAACCTTGTATCTTATTGTTTAAAAAAAGAAGCACAACTGTACTCTACTTCATGTATCAAAGTACATAATTGAATGAGGTATTCAGCTATTTTTCAAGTCACATTTGATTGGCTGAGACTTTTCAACATGCTCAAATTGGATTGGTTAATCTGTTTCAACAAAGATCATACTCATGACTATGATTGGTTGAGAAAATTACGAACAGATGAAACTTGACAGGGAGGCCGGGGTTTGATTGGTTTAGACATTGTGATTCAAACCATAGTTTTTGCTTATTTGTTTGTTTAATAAATTAATGCAAATTGTTCTAGCAAGTATGACTCAACTTCACAAATATGCTTCGCACTTCTGGAAGGTTATCTCCTATTGGCTGACCTTCAGAACATAAGACACTTGCAGCCTAATCACATTCACGGTATTTGAGTATGAATATTTGTTCACCCTCATATCACAGTTCACTAAAAGCCATCTATCTTTATATGTAACCTATAGAGGCTAAAAATATATCAATTCTCAATATTTATACATTTTTCCCAGAATATGTCAACTACCCAAACACTGATGAATAGGATGGAATAACCAGTCAGTACAGTCATGGTTTTTATGTTTTGATTAGTCTGCATAGTGAAGTACGCCCTCTATGAACAATATTGTGGATTACTTTTTTGACAACCAATTCACTTCAGGATAAATCATAAAAGGAATACACCCAAAATATTTCTACATGTAAGTTTACCCTGAATTCATGAAAATTTACCCAGAATTCACGAAATTTTCTAAACAATGGCCAATGAATCAAATTTCCCATAATTCTCATTATTCCCACTAAAACAAACTCTGATTTAATGAGTATTCACACTGGACTGTTATGAGATGAGAGATACCAATGCACAAACAAACAAACATGTTCCTGTTCCCACAAAAAAATATGAAATTTTCAGTGTACTTTTCACTTATTTAACTTCTACATCAGTTTTTGACAATAAAATAATTTGACATTTAACTGACAGATTCTTATTATAAAGTTTGAAAATGATCACAAGTTTTATAAAGGAAGCAGATACTGTACAGGTCAAAGTTCATAGGTCAAAGTGTTGGTGATGGCAGTGAAAGGTCAAAATTTGCATAATGTGTATATCTATATATATATATAGAATCACATTTACATTAATTACTATATATATATATATATATATATATATATATATATATATATGGTGTATTGGAAGCAGTTTAAAACTTTTAGGTGAATTCTGTACTGAAATACACAGTGTATTTGTTATCAATACAAACAACAGAAATGATGAATTAAATTTAAATACACATTTGAGAGTGTATTGTATGCAGTCGATGACATCTAACAAGAGATGACATGTGTGACAGTATTCAAGGTACAAATGTAGATGGCAACGATGATGGAGATTCAGTTCTCCAAAACTCTTAATTTAATTTAAACAATTCTGGCAGCATCACCAATGGCAACATGATTTGATTGCGAGCAGCGACATTCATTAAACCCATGCCAGCCCTCATGACAATTTCCTGATTCAGAAAGCAAGCAATATCTTCAACCATATAAATTACGAATAATGATAACAAATTTTGATTATTTTTCAGTTCCAAGTAGTGTGTCAGCCAGAGCAGAAAAAGATAACAACGGTTGTGGCAATGGATTTAACAATGGATTTGGAGTCTGCACCGTCTCTTCTGTGTATGCGTTACAAGAATCCACTGTACTCACAGGATCTGTGTTCATTCCCATATTGCCCTATATTAAAAGAAAAAATCAAGTTAGGACCATGTGATTACATTGCACACATAAGCACTCAAGTTTTTTTTCAATCTCTTTTTTTCTTGAAAAAAGTTCATTGACATTCTCACAATTTAAAATGAATTTGAATTTTTAAATTTTCTTTGAATCATTGAATTTCCTGGTACAATTAACAATGATTATTAATAAAAAACAATTGTCACTGTTTTGTGGTAAGTTACAGCTTGCCATCATCTTGCAGCTTTACACAGAGTATATGAATCCTAATATATTAGGAAATGCAAATTCAAAATATGAAACGACTATGCGATATTTTAAATATGGTGAAGATGTCTGAAAACAAAGTTCACAGACGACAGACAGACAGACAGACAGACAGGGTGAACAGATGAAGGAACCCAATCAGAAGCCACAATTAATATTCACCTTTGTCGACACAGTACTGTAATAGTGTTTGCCATCAGCAGCACTGATTTGCATATATGGTAAATTACATGCATTTGGTAAAGTGATATCTGCCTCTGGACTTGAAGACAGCAAACAACAACTTGAATAGGAATAGTTTCCTGAGTCCTTCCTTCCGTCAACATGTGCGCTGGTTTTTTTCAATGTTTTTGTTTTGGCTTGTTTGTTTGGTCTGTAACTACTAGGTTTAGCCTCTTCCATGTTATAATGTTCAAACTGGCAAGCTGGCGTTGGGTTGGCTAGCCCATGACTATTTTGTGTTGGTTTCCCATTACTTGTCTCCATGGTAACATGTTCATCTGTGGAGTTCACTCTATATGTTGGGTAATTCATATAGTAAGTTGGCAGAATATTGTCACTTGTTTGCATAATTCTCTGATCAGATGAATACAGCCTATGCATTTCCATTCCTTTATCAAATGAGTCTCGATACCCATCATGCTCGCCTCCGGGATTAAAGTGTTGATTAGCATAATAGTTTCTATGGTAACCATACCCATCATTACTATAACTCAATCCATAATAGGCTTGTGCACTCATCCTATAGTCATGTTCCTGCATCCCTGCTGCTGTCATAGCAACAGGATGATGAATTGTATCTGTTACCATAGGAGCCGACATTGCGGCATGATCAGCATCCATAGCCAAGTGTACATTTTCCATCTTAACCGTGCAGTCATTGTATCCATTCACATAAGCCCCGTTTAGATCATCAACTTGGGGAACTCCTCCCGCACCTCTTAATCCACAATCACTTCCAGGGTTGCTGACGCCTTTGCTATATGGAAAGTCCATGCCTGTATTAAACATAGACCAGAATTCATAAATTTAACTATAGATATATTATAGTTAAATATGTAGATATATAAAGCTATAATTCAATAAGAATGTGTAACATACAAAAGGTCAGTTGTTTTCATTTTTGATTTATTTCATTTCGATATCATTGTTTTCCCATTTCCATTAAACCTATCTTACATACAGTTCACACTAGTGAAATTTACACCGAATCATATTTTTTCCGCTGAGTATTATCACAGTATAACACATTTTAATACACAGTAGTCCATATCATATACCCGGGTACCAAAGTTGTGCATATATTTTATGTAAACGACAGGTTTGTTTATCGTCATATTTTTAATAATTCAGTATGCAATTATTGATTTACATTTGCTTTTATTGGTGATGCACTTCTAATTGAGCAAATACAGTACTTCAGTTACGAATGTAGCATTCATAGTGAATGGTAAAAAAATAATTATTATAACATACAGTACATATTAATAATGGGAGAACATATCAAAACACAAATTACAATGGTTGTATATTGAATCATTTAAATATTATTTATTTTTCCCATAACAAATCTCTCAAATTTATTTAAGCATGTGTTCTACTTTCAAAGCAAATACAGTAAACAAACAAAATTGCAGTAGAAATAAATTTTTTGGCAGTGAACAATAATTACTAGGACAACTAAAATGCAGTATTGGTAAGAATAAAAGGATGAGCTATGTATATATTCATGAAATTTAAAATTCAGAATTGACTGCAGTTTTGTTACCATGGCAAAGACCTACCTTGTGGAATGAATGGAGGTCTTGGTTCATTGCAATCGTAGAGCACAGCAGGTCCGGAAAACGGAAACTTGCGATAATTCCCTCGTTGCTGGTAATGCTGCATTCCTTCCTCTTCACTGGAAAATAATAACATAGTAAAGTTATTGAGGCCTTGCCAATAATGAACGCTAACCCTTAAAATTTCTTTCCACCAATGTTTTACATCTTTATCTTTATTGAGTTAAAGAGCAATGGTTGTCGCATCATGCATTGGCAAGATATGGGTCTCATATATAAACAAAGATGGCGACTTTGACTGTTGCGCAGACCAACGAGTACAAACTGATTTATTACCAATCTTTAATTAGATAATTTCTTTTGAGATTGGAAGGTATTGAAGAGACACAGGCAAGGTCAAAACTCATACTTGTGATTTCCATTAGATGAGTGCATTGGATTGTGGGAAAATCAATGTTCATCAAAGCACATGTTGCACATGCTCAGCACGACAACTACTGCCCTTTAATTTTTTTATTGTGAAGGTTGCATTCCCAATTCTTGTGAGCTCACTGCAAACAGTATTGCTTTCTGCACACTCCTTTGCAAGCTGACTGTAAAAAATATCACTTTGCGATAAGCATGCAACTAGTAGTGTAATTCTGCGCATACAGTCTCTTAAAAATTTGCTTTATCACAATGACAAATATGATATGATATTTTTTTTTTTAAAGGTCTTACCTCATTGGACGGTGAGTCGAGATGATATAGTCAGGCTTGCTGTTTTTAAATATAATTCGACCTTTGGCCTGTACCCAAAGCCAAGATCCATGTTTTGTCATTAAACGGAAATAAATAAATCCTGTTTCTCCTTTTCTCAATACTGAAAATCAAACAAAAATACGTCTGTCACATGGTTTTACTGATATAAAGGATTGAATGAATTTACATTTTTTTTTTAAAAAAGAAACAATTAAAACCAAGAAATATTTTAAAATGATATTCACAGAATTTTACTTGTTTTATTCAAGACTTTTAATTCCAGTCTTTTTAAATTTAATTACTTACACTACCTACACATCAAAAGTATTGTCGAGATGCCCACGATTTCAAAAACCTGTAATTTTCTTATCAAAATGACATACTATGGTATGTAGATCAACAATATAATAAATTTGACACTTCTAATGAATCATTGTCATTATTTTGCACCATCACTCGATCGTACGTACACAAAAATCACTTGAAGTTTATTCACCATTGTTTTGCTATGGAGCTTCATCTCATTAGCATAAAATTTTCATAATAGTGTTCTATTGTTAATGTTGTAATTTTCCCACCCATTTTATAAATATTCATGATATGATGAATTTGTAGTCGCCAATCACAATTCCAGCATGATTCAATCAGGGTCAAAGGGCAGGAGTTTCTTTGCTAGCAACTGTCACTCTGTTTTCCATAACTTTGCATTGATAGCTCAGCCTATTTTGTAATATCGCGCAAGTTTTGAATTGAATATTGAAGAATTACAATGTTAATCAGAAAATATATTGAGTGGTTTACCCATCTATTAATTTTTAGTCATTTGAACATATTTTCTATTCTATTTTATTCTATTCTATTCTATTCTATTCTATTCTATTCTATTCTATTCTATTCTATTCTATTCTATTCTACTACTCTACTCTACTCTACTCTACTCTACTCTACTCTACTC